TGTTATGGATGTTTAAAAGCAGGAAAAGTATAGTTGCGTTCCTTTGATTGTAGCATTTTGAATTAAAAAAAAAATCATTATTTTCACTCCTTAATTAGGTATTCTGAAAATGATCTACTGTTATTATTCCTCTTTTCAACGAACTCTATATCGATGCATAAAAGGCTTTCAATTCGGTTCTGCCAAAAAATACCCGGAAACAAAGTTTTGAGGTAATATTACATAAAGTCTTCTGACTATCGGAGGGCCCTTCCGCATATACGGGGTGAATCCGAAAGTGAGATTTTATTCTTAACAGGATATGTATCTCACCAAAATAAGTTGTTCGGCAAAAAATTGCTACATAAAATATTTTAGATAATGGAGGTAACAGGTATATTAAGGTTTAAAGAAGACTACACTACAACTATAAAACATGTTTTATATATCAAAAAAACGTAAAGAAGCATCTATGAGCCTAGCATTCTACATTTTCAACCTATATTAATTTCCGTTTTGAAGTGACTTTTTCGTCATATTCCATCTAATAAATCTTAGATTAATAAGTTGGATTTTCAATTTACAAAACCTTAAACGATATATATACCCTGTTGAATAAAAAAACCTCACTTTCAGATTCACCCTGTATTGTGAGTGAACCTTTGTATATAAGTAATTGTTTCCAAACATCAATGTAAGATTTAATGAGTACCTGTCCCAATATATTGAGACCTGCGGAACACCAATGTTAACTTTTGAGAGGTAGGTATACGAATGACGAATAACTCAATATCCTCAATGAATTTTGCATAATATGAAAGCACTGCCTTCGTGTAGATCTGTTAACAATGAAACCAAGCTGACTGTGAAAATGTCAGGTATACAACAGAAGGAAGAATTCGAAAATTGTAGAAAAATCTAGAGTTACTTGCATAGACCGGTATGGAAGTTTGTAACCTCAAAGTGTATTTGATTACAAGAAATTTCTCAGCAGTCAGACATAATGAATATTCATCGTCAAAACATTCGTTTGGTATTCTGCACCTAGTAATTATGTCGGCGGATTTCACTGTGCATATTCTACGAATCGCCAAATTTTTACATTAAGTCTGCTGGCAAAGGTTAAATTAGTTATCTACTTCGCAATTAAAATGTCAAAGTGAATTTCGCCTATCGAACTAAGAACAGTGCTGGGAAACAGCAAGGTTATCTCCGATGTCTGCAGAAAATCGTATGACTAACTAGTTATTATTTTTTTACATGGACTACCTATATTTCAATCGACATAATACATGTTTGATCACTGCATGCTTTCAACAGTTGTTTAAGTATTGATTATTACTTGATAAATGACGGTAGACGATGTGTGTTTTTTTTTGTCCGGGTATACAATTCCTACTCAATCTATTGATATATATATATATATGTCCACCAAGTATTGCCTATCCTTTGCACTTTTTTCACTGTACTGATGAGGGCCGAAAGTGCGAAACACGTCTTTGCAGTTAACTCTTTATGAGGGCTATGTCCAATATTTTCTTCTAAATAAAAGTATTGAAATGTTATCGAGTGGAACATAAATCTATTCAAGAGCGAATAACACAAAAACCGTCAAAGCTAGACAATTTGAAAATGAGTACATTTGTTATGTAAAATTGAACGGGCTTTCAGATTTGTCACTTATTTTGATCATTATTGAATGGACAAAAAAGATATTATGTGATTTACCGAAGTAACAGATTGCCATTAGCACCCTCTATGAGCAATCACAAAATGAGTTTCAAATTCTTCGTTGTACTGTTGAGTGTTGAGAAATGATTACACTTTACACGAGGCCTTACACCTCAATCCAAAATGTGATGGATGTCAACAGAAAGGCTTCGGAATCATGGTCGAAGTTCTTGAAAGTGGATAAATCGAAGATAGGCAATAATTTCGTTGGTCTGCTCAAGTCTTCATTGAAATGCACGTTTTGCGGGGGTAACGGTTTGATCCCTTTTCGGATTTGTCATTGCCAATACCACAGCAGTTCAGTTTGTTTCAGTGCTTAGACTCATTCATCAGAGAGGAGTCATTTGATGGCGAAGACAAGCCAACTTGCTTTAAATGCAAGGAAAGGCGAAATGTACAAAGTCATTTTCTATTCAGAGGTTCCCTGAAATTCTTGTCATCCATCTGAAACGTTTCTCGCTGGATCGGTTCGTAGAAATACTGAACGTCTTAGTTGATGTACCTACCTTTAGACAGGCTGGATATGAGTCATTATACGCTGCCGATGGAAGTGTACCATTCCACTACAATTTTTATGCCATTTCGAACCACAGCGGTACCATCAACAGTGGTCAGGTGGTCACTATACATACAGCCTACTGCAAACTTCCGTACTCGAACATCTGGCATGAATTCAACGAAAGTCGTGTTTCAACAATTTCATCAGATTTGATCATCAGCAGAAAAGCGTATATACTCTTCTATCAAAAAAATACCCAAGTTGTATCAGAGTTATTGGAATGAATTTATACAATACAATACTATGTTTACATAATTTGCTAATAATAATCTAGTAATATAACTAGGAATTGTAAAACAGTAAAGGGTTGAAGTTCGAAAAGAAAACATGATGATGCTATTTTTCTTCAGTTTTCCCTGTATAATAATCAAGCCATCTGCTTTTTTGGGAACTACAATCCAGGTTAACATTTCTAAACATAAATCTACGATTTGATCGGAATTACACCAGAATCGGTCAAGAATTGAAAAAGTTACAGGGCGATCAATTAGGCAAATTTTTTCTAGTCGGTGTTTTGCCGGTGAGTGTATATAATATAGATGAATATCGAGAGATCGTTTTGGACCACCGTGTTCAAACATTCTTTGTCTTATATTTTAACATAATTTCTGTGAGAAAATTGAAGTATGGAGTTTGTCTTTCCTTTATACATAGATCAAAGAGTCCCTCTTCAATCTATGCTTTATTGAAACTCTGTAGGCTGTAGAGCCATCTAATGCAATCTTCAAAATCAAGAGGCATTCTTACCTGGGATACTTTCTAGTGAACTATAGTTCATGCCTGAACCACGAACTCTGTAGCCTGAACAGAGGAAAGAGATCTTGAACACAATGGGATTCGGATTATGGCAATCCATCCAGAGATGGCGCTTGTGACAAAGATGGAGAATGCCTTTTACTCTTAGATCATGTATGATGCAAGCTTTTACTAGGATGACTAAATTTGCATGAGAAAATTATTGAAACATCCAATAATAATCACTATAGAAGTGTGAAATCATTTCTCAAATGACGTTATATTTCTTGACGTCATTTTGACGTCCCTTTATATCGAGAATCAGTCGCAATTCTCTTCGTTTGAAATATTTTCCACAATGCAGTGTATTGCCGCTTCTACTAGAAATGAGTATAGGAACAATACTTTGTTATTTCATATGGAATTACCCTGTATTTCATTACATTCTTAGATTCTTTTAGAAACTTTAAATTCGCACAGTTTGTAGTTTGCTGTCAAATACTTGGAAGGTGCTCGAAAAACTCATTCTCCTTTATACGGATTTGCATGCGCATATCCATTGGTGGCTGAGCGCTACCATCAATGGTGAATTGAAATTTGTTGCCGCTGTAACACTTCTGTCAATAATTCAATCGCCGGAAATTTGTATTACGGCCAACTGGCGGCCGCCTGGACACCTCGACGCTTGGTCGTCAGTTCTCAAGGAGATCGGTGCATGTTATCTGGGACTCATCCTGATGGTCACCATTTTCCATCTTTTCTACACTCGATAGGGTCTTGGACGACCCCCATCCACTCCATACCTGGTGGTATATCCTTAGGAAGTGGAAATTTGTTGCTTCAGTGGTCGGAGGTAGTTCAACCAGATTCAGCTCGGTGATATACTTGTTTTCAATTTCCTATAACGATGGGAGCTAAACGACTGTTCTTTACTACCACCATACAGGAATACCAAGATTTTCTACGCTGCTGCTGCTGCTGCTCCTTATTGGGTACTGGCAGCAGGGTCATCAAACCTCTCCGCCAGCTCCAACAATAGTTATGGCAGGGTATTTCCCAAATATTTTGCAGAAATACTTCTTTCCGAAATTCAATAATGTTTGAAATGGTATCGAAGGCAGATATTGCGTGCACGAGCAAGATACAGAGCCTTTGAAGTTGTATTGGCAGGAGGATCTGTTTTCCTCTCGCTTATTTTTTGAGGTAGAAATGGTTCACTGCATGTGTTGTACCAGTCAGCAGGACGAGTAGGACAATATCTGTCCCTACAATGGTGACGGCGCCGTACGTGGGGTAGGGGCATTATTTAGCTGTGGCAATTAACCAATCATCCTGTCAGCCTCTTCGGAAGCTTCGTATGTGGCTATGTTTGACGGTTGCATTTCACTGGAGGGCAGCTTCACGAATCGGTCCTTGTTCTCTCTCCTCATTGGTCAGGAACTCATCCTGAGGCGTTATATCTTGATACAACCATGTCTTTGGTTTGGAAAGACACCAAAAAACATAATATGCCGTTGTTTTGACTTTTATGTTTATCTCCCACTCCGTAGGGGTTACTTGAAAAAAATGATCATGCATTTTGGAGGTGATTGAAACTCGTACAAATTTCATTCTCATACTTATAAATGATAAATGCATTTTCGGAAAATGCGTTTTCAATTTTTTTATAACACATATCTTCATAACTATCAATCCTGGAAACGAAATCGAGAATGCAATTCATAGGAAATTTAGTTCTCTACAACATTGATCTTTTGAAATGCAGCAAAATGGGAATAAAATCTGAAGTGCCGATTTTTTTTAGCTTCTTTCAATATGGCGCCGGGCAGCGCGGAAGTGAGGGGATTGTGCATTATGCATTTCAAACACTGAATAACCATCCTAGACAACATATCAAAAAAGAACTACCGGACCGACTTCAGTAACCAAACCACCCAATGCAGAAGAAGAAGTGGGTAAGTAAGTGAAACACAAAATATTTTCCGAATTTTATTTTCATTCAGGGTGATAATAGTTCTTGAACCGTCTTTTTTATCCACCCCTAGGGTATACAAGGGTATGCATATGTATGCTTTTCATACATAGCTATATATTTATATAAATTATATAAATGGTAGACAGTATACAAAGTGTTTACTAAAACAATAACAATAATGCTATAAAAAACTCTAGAATTATCTACAACGCCCTTCTACCTCTCCATTTGTGCCAAGACAAGTAAAACTGAAATTGCACATGAAAAATGTTTTCAGGTTTATAAATCAATAAGTTTTTTCAATTACATACTTGTCTACATATAAAACTACAACAGTTACATTCATAACATAGTTATATATTAGTACAAAACATACAAAAAATATATGATAATGGCATTGTAGAGATCAATAAAGTTCATATAAAAATGGGTAATATGATACAATTACATGAAATTATTTAACCAGTTTCTTTTGCGGAACTGCGAAAACTTTGATCTATGTACATATAAGTATCAAATACAAAAAAGAAAAATAATATTCAAACAACGAAAATAAATAACCGACTTTCGAACCCTGTAACTTCATTAATTAATCATTATATAAATATTTTCAAACTAATTTGGGTAGAGTTGTTATAAAATTTATAAAACACACAATTTTCGCTACATCTGTTGAACATTTTAACTAAGTATATATTTTGTTGAACCCATATCAATGATCTAGAATTATCTATCTTTATCGAAAATTTCACTCAGCAATATCAATCGAATGACCCATTTAACATTTCTTTATCCCAATTTCAATAAATAAAAAAAAGTGTTGATATGGTTCAACAAAAATTGTAAGCACCATCAATATTTGACATTTTCCAATTATAAATATTTTCCTACCAAAATTCTTTAGATATATACAAAAACTTAGAATTTCCACGTCTAATATTAAAATCTACTAAAGAGTTCCTTAAATCACTCAAGTAAATGGCACAATTAATTTAAAATCACATCCCAATGCAGACTTTTTGCTGGCAGTACAATTAGGAATATGAATTGGGAAAATAAACTCAAATGTCACTTCCAGAATAGCCGGATAATTTATATTTTCACATTATTTAATTGAATACAGTGTTTTGAATTAATTCCACCAAATTGGCACTGCAGATATTATTTTGTGGGAAAAAATTTAAATTTCATCTAAATCAATTCAGTATTTCCGAGAAATCCTGGTAACAAGATTTTTTGATCCCCTACTGAATGCCTTGGAGATCGTGGAAAACAAATCTGCAAAAAATTAATAGAGGTCTTTATTCTCGACGCTTCATCTGCAGTGAAATTTTGGCAGAGTAATTCTGAAACTCTGTATAGAATGGAAATGTATTGCATTATCATTATAGCATTATTAGCCACAAAGAGTAGAGCAGTCTTGCAAAAGGTATCAAATAGAATTCGCCAAAATAATGTCCATATGGATTTCCATCAAGTAACGGCAGAGTCAATTCAAAATTTGATACATTTTTATTTTGATGACAATATGATTCTGTGTAGTTTTAAGGGGGCTTATTATAAATTATATAAAAAAACATTTTCCCCTGCTTGTGACAAGTTTATAACACATCTGGGATATCATTTTGGCAGCATCATATTGAATAACCCTGTATGGAGTAATAGCAATTAGTTTCCCAGAATTCTCGGACCCATTTCAACTGCAAATATTTCTGAATTGTGAAAGATAAATTAATACAGAGGTTGCGTTTCCATTCAACAATTCATTTGTGCAATTTTGTTTTCAATTGATTCAACACAGTTTGTGAATATGAATATATTGCGTCCTCAAACTTTTTTGTGACAAAAAAATAAGTAAATAAATACTTCTCGAATCCTCTAATAACAATAATATTTTCGAGGTTAATTCGAGATTGCTACTATTTTATCTCTCATTTCATTATTGATGAAAATTTTGACGTGAAAGTAGAGAATCGGATAGTATTCGATAAAATCTTCAAAATGGGGTATCACAACGCCCCTCATCCATATTCAAAATCCGGAGGTTGTGCTTCCCCCTGGTAGGTTGTTGAAGTTACCCGGATGAAGAAATAAGCAGACAAGTAGTTCCCGCTCGAATAAGAAATCGACGGGTCCGAACATTTTTCCGTATTTCCATTAAAATCGGGGTGTAAAGCATTCGTTAGACCAAAAATGGAAACGGTTTGTTAACAAAATTGTTCACTAGAAACAACGGAATCTCTGCATCATTGCTGTATCTGCAGTTGGAATACGACAGAAACTACTGGGAAACCCAGGATCTATAAAAAAATCCATGACTTGATTTCGGAATACATGTGTGAGGAAGCTCCGAGCACAAAAAACAAATGATCAGTCTGACACCTATAACCGACAATTTGATACAGACAGATAATTGCAGGAAGATTCTATCTATTTCACGAATCTAGTCGAATTTGTCATCTTTATTTGATAGCTGGGATCTTTTTTTCCATTATATCATATTATGTACTTGATTGGATTCTTCAATAGCTCAAGAACAGTTAGTTAAACTGTCATTCTGTCTCTTTCTGTTAAATGTCTTTCATCAGGTTAGAATATCTTACTTATAGCATATGACAAAATCCACGTGAGGACCTCAGATTCAATGTAATTTTCGTTCTTGTAGTTATTTCTATCTAAATACAGGACTTAATAACTGATGGCAAACCTTCTTTTCACACTTACCTTTTATTCCGTATTCGGTGATGACATTTTAACAATAATCAGAAAAATCAATGGCTGCATCAATATGATATCTTGTAAAAATAAATTGGCAAAGTCAAGCATAACATCCTATCGAATAAGAATTTCATGCCACTCCATCGAAAATCCTATGATCTTTCGAAGCGTTAGGTACTAGATTGTGAAATGGAATAGGAAACAAATTCGACATCAGGTTTCTCATCGCATCATTAGACAGTCGGACGATCATGAAATGAAGTGGTTTAAAATAAAGAACGGTATACTTGAAAATTTCATCTTTAAAATTTCAAAACAAAAGCAGTGTGCCAACTATGTCAATTGTCAAAATATTGGAAATCAAATCGGGCACCAAACTCTAAGATGATGTACCGTCTCAAGCTATCGGTAACATTATCGAGAACCCAAACATCTGCAATGCCGTCTCCCGTTCTTGGTTTAGACCACTTCAGAATCTCCCCGCCGATATCCGATATGCACCAAGCGAATTTGAGGTTACTTTCCGCCGATCCACATTCAGCACACCCGACATCAGTGCGCCGCCTTGGGCGTGCTCAGGTGGGTGGTCTCGCTGCGCTTGGGCGGCGGGGGCGGCGGCCGCCTCGACCCCGCCCCGCTGCCCCTCGAGTGTACGGGGCTGGTCGCGTACTCGGCGACCGCGTCGGCGCCGGCGTCCCTGTACACGTTCTCGTAGAGGTTGTGGGCGCCGTAGTGCTCCTGCACCCAGTTGGAGACGTTGTGCTCCTTGTAGTCGGGCAGCGGGACGGGCGGGTCGCGGAAGCCGAGGACCTCGTGCGGGGTGGTCTCGGGCTCGAGCTTGCACTTTTGAGCGACCTGGAATCGAAGGAGCAACGGTTTTCTTACACGATCAACATCTCTGATTCAGTATCAGATTCTTCCTCAGGACTGCAAAAAAATATTTTGAATTGACTCGGCCGTTTCTTGATAGAAATCCATGGCAAATGTAAAAACTTCACAAACGATAAGCAGTGTTGCCAATGGATTATAGGCTGAATACTGACACGCAGGTTACAAAATCTGCGCTAATTACTGCAATAATATCAAGAATCCGTACAAAATCCGCGTATTTTTGTAGAATAAAGGTATGTTCATGCTTGTACGAATTCCGCAAAATTTATGCGAATCGCAAAATAAGAAATTTCCGACAGAATTTGACGTTCATACTCATGCGACAAAATATGCAGGAGATAAAGGGTTCTGTTGTGATATTAATTTCTTTATTTCTGGTCCCACCATTGATAGAAGTTCATCAAATTGAAGGCACGTTACACGAAAGTGAAAATATTTATTAGGGTCATTCAGTCGCCTTTATCGAACGAGTCTGTACTAATTAATTTTTCGGCATTTGAAAATGCTTCGAACAGTACAGCTCCTTTTTATGCTTCTAGATACATCAGTAGTTTTATAGAGACGATACAGATGATACTTCAAAATTAATTCGTCCAGAGAATCCATGTACTTACCTGTAGTCTATTGTCTAGTCTCGTCTTTTTTCGACCTCTGCAGACCGCTCCCTGATTACCCAATTTTGATGTTATCAAAATAACAATACATTTTATGTGGTTATGATTCCATCCGAATTCGCAAAAAAGTTCAAATATTTCAACTTCATTGCGATATTCACAGTCGCCATTTTATGCGCATAAATTTTGCGGAATTCGTACAAGCATAAACATACCTTTATTCGAATTGAAGGAAAAACGGATAGAGTTATGGTATCCTTGAACTATTAACTTTGTTTTGCTGTTTGATGATGTATGTACCTATGATTTCTGTGAGAAAAATCGACTCAAGATAACCTCTAAATAAAAGGTAGAAAGCAATAAATTGAACAGAATGCGTAGACATCTACGGTGAATTTCATCACGTGACTATATATTGTTTTATCCTGTTAGTGTTGTTATTTCCTTGGACTCTTGGAGTTCTCGCACTATTCGTAAAACGTATATTGCTCACTGTGATCAAAATTAATAGTATGATGCTTAAAATTGCGATTGTTAATACTACAGGATGGATCTTACAAGACCATTGAATCCGTGCAGAATCCACACAAAATGTCATTACTGCATCTTCACTGCAAGGCGAAGCAAATACGTGCAAATGCAGTAATTACGCGCACATTGGCATCTTATCATATGATTACCACAAAATCTCAAACACACGACATGTTTCGCTAACACAGTTGCTTCGTCAGATGATATACTGGTACAATGAACAAACTAACGTTGGCTTGCTTAACTTTTATATATCCTACTTTCCCAACCTGAAGGAATCATTTTGAATCATTAGAAATCAACAAACGCAAAAATTCTGACATTTTACTTAACGATCAATTAGACCTCAATAGTTCACCACTGTTGAATTTGTTTTCTTAGTAAGTAACAATATGTATTTGCTATCAACTCTTTCAAGTTAATCCGGTACACCGTATTTAAATGTAGATATTATGCCTAATTTCCGAAAATGGAGGTTTATCGTACCTGTCCACAGGTAACTAATTCTTCAGGTTGGGAAAGTAGGATATATAAAAGTTAAGCAAGCCAATGTTAGTTCAGTTCATTGTACCAGTCTGACGAAGCTACTGTGTTAGCGAACCATGTCGTGTGTTTGAGAATTTTGTGGAAATCTTATCGTTACCTTATCGTGAAGTTTTTACATTTGCAAAAAAATAGTTTTTTTGCTACAAACGTCAAAAATGACAAGGTTCAATCGAGTAAACATTCAAGAAATCATTTATTTCTGAATGTTTAACAATATTTTTCTATCTCTAGGATAGGAAATTTCTTTTATGTTCGTGGAACATCGTGCGTACATAGGGAGGATAGGGAGAGGCCTTTCAAGCCAGTTCAACAAAATCAGCTCTCGATCTCCAAAGTAGCATTTTGCGCACTAGATACAAAAATAACTATTGTATAAAGTGGTTTCCCTTCAACGAATTATTAGAGAATTGTTATTCAACTACCTATATAGTACCTAGCATGTTTCTGCTGTGCATAGTGGCTAGGCGATTTAAAATAAGCGATACCCTCTCTTGCGGATATTCAAGTAACTAATGCATTTTATCGAAAGTTTAGTGGTCATTGTTCATATTTTTCGAGTTTGAATTCTTCAGTTTTCTTACTGCATTTCACGGAAAATGATGATGTCAATCAGTGTATAATGTTGAGTATGCATTTTTGGGTACTACCATTGTTTAACTATGATGTTAGAGCAAAAATTGTCGAATCATTAGATGTATGCTCGGATTTATCGGTAAATCTAATAAATCTTGTGACGCTGTAACCAATGGCTCGCATTTTAAGTTGTGCTTACGGCTATTCGAAGTAGTGAGTCATGAAAATGGTGAAGGATCCAAAACTATATATACAAATATGTTCAGTAAATGTTCATAAACTATACAAACGGATGAGATTTTGAATGTTGAAAATTTGCTCATTGGTCAAGTTTCACCGTTTCATGAAGAAACACAAAACCAATGGCACATTATCTAGAAAGCTGGAAGCAGATGGCCTAGTAAAGTTGTAGGTCATGTCAGATGTCAATCAATATTTATTTACTCACAGGAATGGAATTGTTTCATGATAGTTCATTGAGAAAAGTTACTAAGATTTTCAGATTCTCAAATTCAATTATCACTTGACTTATTATAGTTCAGAATGTAGTAAAAATATGAAAAATATGTTGATTGCGTGAATATTACCTGCCACTTTTTCCTCATGACCCTTTGCAGATCCTTCAAGAAATCTTTGGGCGGCTCCACCAACTTCTTAGGGCTGGTAAGCTTGGTGCTCTCCGCCCTTTTGGGCGGCGGCGGCTTCTTGGGCAGTGGCGGCACCTCTTGCGGCGTCAAATTGAAGCTGATCTTTTTGCCGGTCTTCTTCGGACTCGACGGCTCCTGAAAGCAATGACAGCAACATAAATGAGAGGTATTTAAAATGGTAGAATAGAAGAATAGAGATGTGCCATGGCAGTGAGAAGCATCATTACATCACATACATATCTACTGAAGAAGTGATCTCAGGTACGCCATAGCACACTTTCTATACTCACGATGCACATCAATGACACATGTTATAATCGAAAACCAACTACAAATATATGATTCTTCGGCGGCCAGTCAATTATCAAAGATATACTCTGCATGTCAAATATACAAGAATTTACTTTCACTGCAAAATAAGATAACTTCAATTTATTCTGATGATTCATATTGCACAATAACCATATACGTATTAATAATCAATACGGATAATCTCTATCTGTTTCCATAGCGAAACATGAAGCCGATTTTTGAAGACAAATGACTATCCATAAGGAAAAGTTTTGAAACGATCAGACACATACTGCTTTGATTGAAAGGCTAGTAAACGTCATTGTCCACCGAAATGCATGTCTTTGATGACTACTATAATAGCGTATGGCGCATGCGTATCATGCCACCAATTCCTTATGGATATTCATTTGTTTCATATTTTTGGCTTCATCCTGGCACCCGTTATGATCCGTATTGTTTATTAATACGTATATGACAATAACCATTAAAGTAGAAAAATATTGAAGAATACGGAGGGACCGATATCATTCGAAATGATGGAAAGTATAATGTCATTCAAGAGCAATTGGCCTAAAGCAGGGTTTGCACGAATTAATTCAGATGACTTCTGGAAAAGTCATGAATTAATTAAAACTATTTAGTTCAAACTGGAAATTCCGATTGCATTATGACAACAGGACAATCATGAACAACTGACAACCGTGGACCAGTGGAACCACAGGCGGAAAACTAAATTTTCTAATAATGATTCTTTGTTTTGCAAAAATTGCGATGCAATTGAAAAAGAAAATCGACGTGTCTGAACTCTTTTCCTCACAGGCCGTAACCAAGCTTTTAACGAATTTGTTTCAACGTTCATCCGCTCACTAAATAAAAATGTGTCATGGAAGTACATCATGATGAACTATATGAAAAGGAGAGTGGACTATTTTTTTTATTTCTCAAATAGATTTATCACTCAAATACCTTCCAATTTCATATTATTAAAGAATTTGTGGGTCGACTTTCAGGTGCTAAATTAATCATCAATAATGCCGGTAATTTTCAAACCGCTAGAAATTTACTGTCAGTAAAATCGACGCCACGAATTGGGTGAAGAATCAGACCATAGCACAGTTGCCATGTGTTGAAATATTATATTGGTAATATTCCTAATTAGTAATAGAACTTCGATTGTCTCAAAATGTTCCCTTATGATTTGTGGCTTATTGCCTATAATAAATTTGTGTACATAATAATTACATTAATTCATACTAGAGGACATTTGAATCAGTGAACGTGACAACACGGCGCACTACTTGTGGGCGTGGTCTTGTCAGTTCTCAGCATTCAGCACCATGTTGCCAAGTCTCCAACATTCACATATCTTCCATTTTTTGATCGAAATACCTCAAATTTCCGACACTCGTATATTCTGAATATTCAATCATTTTCATGAAAAAAAAGCACTATTAGAAATATCAAAATGCTTACCTGGAAGTTGACTTTTCTTTGGACGACCGGCGAACTCTGCGCGACGTTGCAGGCGGTGTTGCCCGACGAACCCGAGCTGTTCGTCGAAGCGATGCTATTCGAAGAGATCTGCCTGGGCAGCGACGACTGTCTGAGCGAGGACCTGAGGCCGACGGGGTTGCCGAATGCGAGGTTGCCAGGTAGTGTACTCGACTGCCGGTACTGGGGAGGATTAACGTACGGGGGCAGCTCTTGTGGACTGTAAGTACCTCTGTAACGTGATCAAGTATTTGTATGTAATTTGTGATGAGAAATATTTTGTTGTTGTTTTTGCATCCGGTTAAACATCCGTTAAAAATCGGACATTTTCACAACAGTCATTTGAAATAAAGGTCCTAATTCCACTCACGCAAACTGGAGTGGAAACAATGTAGATCCTTTTTTGATTTGTTGCTCTTCAGACTCTCGGTCATAACCAAACAAAAACGAAAAATATTCTTTTACTAATTAGCTATTTGTATACAAGTTGCAAAATCAGCATTTTGCACAAAGTACTTCCATGATTTTCTATAAGACTTCTTGAAATGACGAAAAGAAACTCTCGGAGTCATCTTCACAAATTTAGTGTAATGGATGCTTCTTTTTTACACTTCTTGGAGATATGTAAGTACCAGAACATTCTCTTCGATTTCACTTTCGTCTACATTTCGCATATATTTTTAATGAAGAATTCTGATACAAACGAATATTGTTTGAATAATTCTGATACAAAAATTGAGACATGTCTCAAATTACTGAAGCTGTGTTTAATGAACTGTGTTGCCATGGTAATGTGTTCAAGAAATCGTGTTGCCATGGTAACATGTTTAATATTTTGAATAAATCACAGATCGTTAATCCGTGATTAATCGATCGTTTAGCGTGGTACATATCCGTACGCTGAATGCCATTTTAGTTATGTGAGTGATACGAGAAACAAATGAGGAATATGTGGTAAGTAAGACCTTTTAGAGACACTCTGTATAACTATCCATCTATCCTACTGACCTGTGCGCAGGACTGAAGCCCCCAGGTGGCCCCGCATGCACGGGCGTGCTGCACCCGCTGCCCGCACTCGACAAGGGCGGACTGCACACCGGCGTGTTAAGCCGCGAATGCGTCGGCGTCAGATCCAGCGAACCGCTCTCCGTCGGCGAGCCGCCCTCAGTGGGCGTGCCAGCCCCGCCCTCCGTGGGCGTGCCAACCCCGCCCTTCCTCCTGCGCACCGTTCCGGTATCATGCGCATCGGGCGAAAACGTCTCGCCCGGTGGAGGGGGCAGCGACACGAGCGACAGCTGGCTGCCCGTGAGCTCTTCTCCCGTGAGGGGCGGTAGGTCGGCGGGGTGGGGCGGGGGAGGGAGGCTGTCGAGCGAGAGGTTCGAGCGGTAGATATCCGGGGGCGGCGGGTAGGTGGGGGAGGCGTTGAGGATGACGTCACCGTGGGTTTCTGGGGGCGGGGGCAGGGAGGTTATCGAGTCGGTCTGTAAAGATGAGGGTGATGTAGACGAGCCGGTGGTGTGCTCGGGTCGACCAAGAGATGACTGAAATGAGGGCTAACAGTTTCAGTCTCACTAGTTGGTACTAGAGTTTTTAGTTGGTACTAGAGCGTGAGGTCTATATTGAAATAAAAAGATTCAAAATTTTAGTGGATGGACATGGAGGTTAAGGCCTGTTTCTTTTTTTTTAAGGAAAAAATTATGTTACCTAAGTAAAACTAATAAAAAAGCTGAAATTATGATTAGACTTGATCAGTCTTGCGTTTTTTACTCTCTGTGGAACTTTACGAGTAATTCTTACATCATCAGAGAAGAAGATATCTTAGGAAGACTCCGAATGACCCTGAAAATGTATAGCTATTAATTCTACCGACTCTTGACTTCACGTGTCAGTATTTTATGCTAGCCCTCTTTAGTCAAATTTTTCTGTGGTGACCCAATTTGAGTTTTCATATAGGCATCACTGTGAATCGAACAGCTGTCAATTAATAAGTGTTTTCATGGTCTCATAAAAGACGAAGAAGAAAAAGAGGGTGTCAATCTTGTATGTTGAATTTCCGACAATGCATATACGAATAACCACCCCAGACTGACGGATCAGAGATGTCCTTCTTGTCAAATATGTTTCCAAACAATTTTGGTAATTCCGTAGATAATTTATAAATTTTTTCTTAATAATGTTCGTGAAGGTTTCAATATTGAGAGAAGCTGAGCATTACGAATATAAAAGATAATGATTTTCTAATCTTTTGGTATTGACAGATATTTTCATACTTTAGAACTTTTGATGAAACAATTTTCATTTTCTAACAGTACTGATCGCAGTTTATACACATATACATAAATAAGAAACACAGACAAATTAGTCTTATCTTCTTAGTAGAAAGGTAGTGACGTGTGATGTGTAAACTATAAAATGCGAGATGAATACAAGTCCAAACATATAATGTATTTTAACCAAAAAACTCAAATATGACAAGCGACGAGCGAATGATTGACAGTTGCAGAGTTACAACAGTCTGTTTGGAAATGTTCGTGACAAGAATTACGTTTGTGACGACACAAGTTTATTGTACGAACTTTGTATGGATATTAATGAAATGAATATGGCCAAATTTATTCCTCCTACTTAGCTAACAATAAGCAAAGTATTGTATAACATTTGAAGTTTCAAATTGTTGTGAGTTCAAGTGTGGCCAAAAAAACAGGAATGGTTGATTCATTGGTAACTTGATTTGATATGACCTTTGGCTTATTTTAAAGCGTGAATGTGTCTATGCAAAATAACAGACGAGATCCTTCATTGATTGATGACAGCTGCTGATTTACAGTAATGCATATAAGGACAAAACATTTAGCTGAAGCTTCTAGCATACTAGCATACACACTGTAAGTAGGCAGCATAAGCGAATAAATATCAACAAAATTCTTACTATTTATCATGCAAAGGGTAAGGTATTGTTAGTTGGGATTCTGCGAAATATTCTTGATATCATGCTCGGCGAAATGAACTTTCAACAATTGGCGAGCCATTTGGAAGTCGGTTTTTTTCTTAAAGAAAAAGTAGATGGTCATCAATAGGCTACTGTCAAAAATTGCGTCTACTTGACAACTGAGCATTCATGGACTATGAATTCCCAGTGGAGAATTCAATTTATTTATATACAGGATACCCGTATTTCAAGCATGAGCATCGGTTGAAGTAGAACAGTCACAGATTATTGAACAAAGTTAAGGACTCTCATGCCTTTTCTCCTCTATTTCTTTTTCATAATTTTAAAGTTTTTATTCACATTTTTCAATGAAAATCCAATCAAATTAAGAATTTTCGACGAAAGACGTTGCCATTAGTTTTGAAGAGGGTATGCAAATATATTGTCATATCATTTGCGTAAAAAAGAACATCTATTTGTTTCAACCTCTTGTTTAAAACTGTTATGACAATGTCTCATCATGATATGTCGAATTTCTCCTTTAAATTATTAATCAAAACAAAAATGCACAATCTTGTTCAAACAAATATCTCCCATGATCAAGTTCAAAGTACAGGTACCCAGTAGAATCTAGATTTTTTTCATAAATAACTCATTTAGTTCTACAAGTGTCTACTGAAATAATCAATCTGAGTAGACAATGAATATACATGATATAAACTATTCCAACTGTCAAAATGAAAAAAAAACATATTTTCAATGGATCTTGATCAAAACAATAGTTATTATAAATTAGTATTTACGAAACAATCACATATAGAATTCGAGAATACGGTTTGCTGAACCATTAGCTTCAATATTTACAAAGCACAAAATAAGATAAATATCATCTCTCATAAAATGATGTATCCATAACTATCATGCACATCGAAAAGAAATTTTCACTCACCATACACGACGGCAAATCCATGCCACCGCCCACCGGAGAACCGGCCTCCCTCAGGGACCCCCCGCTAGGCGAGTACGACCCGTTCCTCTCCCCCACAAAATTCGGCGCTCTCTCCCTGACCGGCGTGGAACCCCCACTGCGGCCGCCCATCGACTCCAGCGAGCCCCGCGACGACTCCATCAAGCCGCGCGACGACTCAATCGAGCCGCGCGACGACTCAATCGAGCCGCGCGACGACTCCATCGAGCCGCGCGACGACTCCATCGAGCCGCGCGACTTGTACGCGTGCTGCCGCTTGAGCGTGCCCGAGTTCTCATCCGATTGGACGGAGAGGTTGGACTTTCGACGGCTGTGCGACCTCGTGAGGGTGCCCGTGTTGGTGTACGAGACGGGACTGTGGGGAGGGAGGGGGGAATTGGAGTCGACTTCGTCTCGCGTCTCGCCCACTTCTTTCAGCTGGCGGGTGATGTTGGTCAGGGGCAGGCTGGGTTTCATCGTGGGCTTGCGTTTTATCGTGCCTATGAATTTAATTTGTGATCATTCTGTTGTACCAACTGAATGATAAAATCGAGGATAAAATATATTTTCGAATGTCAGAAGGTTTCAGTGAACCTACGAGTGTGATTTCATTAGAATTCGTTCCAAGAATTCTTGGTCAATGTTAAATTGTGAAACACTTGAAAACGTGGAGCAAACAGTTTTTATTCGGTTCATAAACAAATTTTAATATTTCAATGCATGTTAACACTTCGAGTCTTTTGGAAATATAATAATATTGCTCAATATGGTGGTTGAAAGACATGCATTTTGAACTTACCCATGGGAAATTCAGAGTCGAAAGCATTTTCGCAGCTTGACGGTGCCCCATCTGACATGCACCCACTAGAACTCGAACTACTTGCTCTGCTATGTCTGCCCGAACTCATATCAGTCGATGTGGAGTATGTTTCACTTTGAGTTCCGTAGCCGGCTTCGCTACTTTGATAGCTTTATTGAGAAAACACAAAAGCCACAATCAGATTTCATGTCCAAATGAAGATAAAGAGGCAAAACTTATTTGTATTTCACCAAGACGAGACAAGTCATTTTTATTCTCCTCTAACGTACTTCGAATTTTCCTGATTGGACTTCAAATATTCACTAGGAAATCCTGCACAATGGATTGTTCTAATTGAAATTGTTGTTGGGCACATATCAGAGCGTATAGACAATTGATAATGTCTACCCAATGGTTCAGAACCCTTCAATTTAGCATTTTATAAAATAAACACTAGAAGTCAATATTAGATTAAGCTCAAGTGGTCTCAAAATGCATAATATTTCTCCAAGAATATTATATTTTTCAAAATTGTTGTTGATAAAAAGTGATGGCCTCTTCATAGAAATAGAAATATCTTATATTCAAAATTTATTTTTAATTTCAACTCATCTAAAGAGTTCTAGCATACCTTTCACTAAATTGCATTCATATCGTGATTCATGAATAATATATTTTGAAATTCGACTTGGGCCTCAAGTTCGGCTTTGAAAAATGGGGTCGGGGTCACGTGACTTCAGCTACATGTACACATTTTTTTTAAATTAATCCCTGAAAATACCCTTATTTGTGATAGACAGATAGATAATCATTATTTGTTATTTGAAATCAAAGCATAAAAATACGCATAGAACTTGTCAATATAAAATATATAGGTAGACAAAAAATGAAAGAATATAAAATAAAGATAGTACAAAGAATGAACAAAAAAAGAACGAATATTGTCCCACTCCGAATCTGAATTTCAATGCAAATATATTTGCGCTACATGTTTCGACGTGGTTGCGACCCCTGTACATGAATCGAAAAAAAAATTGTGCATCAAATTTCATATTCAGAGTGAAACTTCAGGTTGTCCTCCTCATAGATATAGGTAGTACTTACCCTTGAGTAGGTGTCGTAACATTAGAAGGAAACGACTGAACAGCAATTGAACTGACAGAACAACTCCTGGCGTGTGCCAATATATCCAGATCCTCCTGCGCCAACTCATCAATCAAATTCCTGTAATTATCCATTAGCTGCTTGCCAAACTTCGCCAGCCTCATGCCAACCACCCACCTCTCCAAAGTCTCTCTATCCTCCGCGCAAAGGTACTTGATGTACTTGCTCGATTTCGGTTCCTGCAGTCTCGGGTGCTTGATAGCAAAGCAACAGTCAGTCGGTGCTTTATACTTCTTCTTCCACCCGAGGCCGTAGTATATCTGGTTGTTGTCAAACGTTGCCAGACATACTAGGTCCTTGGCCGATCTGGCCTTGTCTTTGGGGAAGTAATAGAGACCAGAAGCTCGGAGGACAAAGTGGTACTTCTTCCAGCCCTTTTTCGACTCGGCTTTTAGGTAGAGCGGGCCTTCCAGCTCCGGGGGATTGGTCGAGGAGAAGTATTCTTCCAGGAGAATGTTGCGGGAGTGCTCGTCGAAGTCCAGGGTTTCCTTCTTGTCGGTGGAGGTAAGGAGGTATCTTTCGGGTTGGAGGAAGAGTCTGATTTTGTCTTCGCGTTCGACGAAGTAGATTTTGTTTTTGGACTCGCGCGTCCAGAGGAGGAGGTTGTCGACTAGCAGTTCGTGGTCCTCGTAGAAGCGTTCTGAGAACAAAACACAACTTGAAAATACTACAAACAGTAAATAAAATGAATGAATGTATTGATTCTTGATCCACAAATCATAAAATATACAAAAGAGCCGAAATAATATGTATTTACAACCATCATATTTCAATCAAAATCAATACATTTCTGTTTCGTTCTGAACATACCTAAAATATTACAGAAGAGAGGGCGGGAAGTGAGGGTGGGGGATGTAATATGACACTTCCCAACCTTCAATGACGTTAGTAATGACAACATTACATATTATATAGTTGTGAATCGGAAGTTTGACCATATATTTTATTGTTATTTTAGACTTGAAGACTTTATACAGTCAGAGTTGGGTTTTAGCGAGGGGTTTAGTCGGTCGTCAAATATAATTGACTGAGTAAGTACAGATAGTGATGTAAGGTTTGTGGAGATGTCCGTAATAAAGAAGAACAAAACTACTGAAATTCAAAACAACAGGAGTATACTAACTGTAGCTTTTGCCCTGAGGAATTATGTTGGTCAAACAGGAAGAACATTCAACCAGGGCACCTCGCAGCGCACATATAAATATGAAATCGCTCATTATGAAAAAGAAAACAAATTCAACATACACTAAACGATACTTTGGATGAGAATCTTTCACTTTTGTTGATAACTCTCATCACATATAGTTAATTTGATAGTAAGATTGTCGTTTGAATAAAGATTTAATTTTGCATGATAGATGAGTAAGCTTGGATTCAGGTAATTAATAGTCATGCTTTCGACAGGTATCTGGTTTTCATTTAGTATAAGCTTTCGAATAACTTGTCAACATTGGGCTACATTACCCATATTATGTTACCTCCTAATTTTTGTTCTTTTACAGGTTCTGCTGAAAACGAGGTTGAAAATAGATACTCACCCATGTATAAATCCGGTAAATGTTCGACGATGGCCCATTTCGGTTCCATCTGGACATGATTCTTGTCGGCCAACAGCCTGGTAACGTAGGAACAAACCATCTTTTCGTCTACCAATAGAGACTTCGCGGACCCGTCCATGGTGAACACTTTGAGGAACAGCTTTTGGATGTTGGCTTCTTTGATCTTTTCCATGGCCATCCGGATTTTTTCCGCTTTCAGTCTGGACGCATCATCCTGTACGGACAAAGACAATATGAAATAATGAACAGGCGATGCAGAAATAATGACAAAAATGGCTATTGTTAAATATACCCACATATAAATTATCTATTTTCTGTGGTTACTTCATTGAATGGGTAATAAAAATGGAACATGAATGCAATTAAAATGCACTGCATTTGATTTTCCAATGATCAACCCATTCACTTTTGTACTTGAATTTTCATCTGTTCCAATCATCAGCAGCAGTTAAATAGATTATTTCTAACCAACAAGAGTTGGAACTTGTGTAACTAAGTTGGTACTTTAGAACAGGTTGCATGACTCTCGGTTATCTCAAATAGTAATCAACACTACTAAATTATCTGCTAAGGCATAAGTTTGGATATAAATTGATTATTTAATCGTCTGTCAAATGCTTTGGATATTTTAACGGAGAATCATCTCGGACATTTTTGCTATAAACATAAACATAAATAAGTATATTGAATATTTTGATTGTGTTCTATATTATTTGATTCATCGTGAGGTGATGTTCGTTTGTGTATTTATCAGTTACCTACTTATTTATAGAAACCACTGAGGAACGACAAATAAATTAGAATATCAGAGATTTCATTCTTCAGATTTTGAAGAAAATATGCTAAACTGTTTTCAAGAAGAATGGGCTGCACAAGAACGATAAATCAAGTTTTATCAAAACAAACTGAATTGATTTTCATAACATAAATAGGTGCCATCAGCTGAATTTTATTCCAATAATCTTAAGTCAATTTTAAAGGTTGATGTTATCTATGTGGACATTATTATTTAAATCTACCTCCGTGTTTACAGTTTCTCTGTTCCGAATTCAATAACAAGCAATGAAAAAATCAGAAGTCCAAAGTCGAATGACGGTGAAAAAATATTTATCAACAGAGGATTCCGAAAAACTTTGACCTCCGTGCAGACTGACAAATGCACATGTTCCACATAAATTATAAAGTAATTAATAGCCAACGAAAGATGGTTATTTATGGGCTTTCACATCACATTCACAATATTGAAATATTTTGAGAGCTCGCATTTTAATGGTAGAAACCCAATATTCAAAAATAGTGTCCATAATTTCTATGAATAGTTATTAAGCTGGGAAATGAATACTAATAGGAGTATTTTGAAAAAATTACAAAATTTATATTTATATCAATTGTTTTGATACCCTATTCTAGTAGTAATTGGATGAAATTTAAACACACCATTTGAATTCTCCGTTTTTCAAAATCAATGCGTCATTACTAAAACCAAAGATTACCAAAGTTTATCTTCTGTAGTCTATGCTAAAACATTATGAATTATAACTGGTGAAGAATAAAATAAACAAAAAAGAAGCCTCAAGTCGTCTCCACAAAATTTATTGGCGAATATACATACCTATGCCTCGACCTATAAGAAGTAATGAAGGTTAGGATTAAAATTTTTTGTTAGTAAAATCCAACACTGATATGTTTTCTTGTTCTAAAAGAAGACAGTTTTATCTCAAAATGATGACAACTATGTAAACAATTAGTTGAAATTGCATCAATATTATTTCAAGAGTAATATATGGTACCTATTATTATATTCTCGGTGCTTTCTGAATAAAACATTGAAATTATTCTTTATTCAAACTTTCCCTATACAAATTTGTGTTATATTCTAAAAATAGATTAGACATACAGGGTGAAACATATTTTGGGCAATATCGGTACCAAAATCGAACTTCAGTTCACTACGTCAATGACCATTGACATGTCTCAATTCTATCATTCAATAGCTGAACCCTCGCCTAAACCACTAGGGATTCTAATCCAGGATCCCAAAAGATGTTTCCTCCCAAAAATTTAAGTATTAAAAAATTGGATCTCGAAAATCTCAATTTTTGTAACTGATGAAATTTTAATCTGCTTTTATTTTTTTCTTCCTTGTTCCCTTAAATAGTTACAAACGAAAAAAATAGATAACGTATTGACAAAGAAACTTTTGACATGGTTGCTCTCAGTTGGATTGGAAAATCGTAACGGGTAAAGATAATGTCACATCCCACGTGTCATACGCCGGGTTAATATAATTTTTCTTCAAATGACATTAAAAGTGGCTTTTCAATGATACTTGACAAGCATAAAAAGTGGTGTACTTTTACTGTCTAAGCATACAAAGTACTGCCTAGACAGAAGAAGTTTGTTGGTATGCAATGTTCCAAGCAATAATTTGAATTTTTTTGCTAATGAATTCGTTCCTTAAGAAAATGGATCTATTTTCTAGGAAAGTTGCAGATTATATCTTGCAACAGCGCCTAATATTTCAAATCCGTCCACACCACTCAAAATACTGACAGGCACAACAAGAGGAAGGAGCCATGGGTGTCGGCTTCATTTTGTTCTGACCTATTACAGTAAATTAGGAAGGATAGTATCATTGAATGTAGCCGATAGTGATTCATTGATTCAATGATATTTTCGTTTAGGATCGAGCTCTATTCGAGATATTTCAATGCATAAATAACAAAACCATAACCTGTCAGAATGGAGCCAACTACCTTCGGCACTCCTGCTCCGAGTGTATTTGTGGTTATGTATGTTTTGTGTTTACCAGTTTTAATTCTTCTATTTTTTTTCATTCGTTTTTCATTGGTTAGCTATTCGTTAGCTATTCGCTAGCTATAATCTTCACCATCAGCAATTTTCAGACTAAATTCAGAATATACGTCACAGTTTGCCGCCCCGAAAATTAGAAATTGCTTCAATTTGAAAATGAAAACGATTTCAGCTTTATCGGTCGCCATTCTGTACAGCGTGGACATAAAAGTGGAGAGTTCCGAACGAGGGGTAGACAACTCGTTGAGACTGGTGTACGACATTTTGAAGCATTTGAGACCATTTGATTACTTTTGAGACAATTTGATTACATTTGAAACGGACTGCCATTGAGACTTGTTGATTACATTTGAGATGTTGTTCATTCGATTTTGAGTATTCGATTACATTTGATTATAGGTTTAGTACAGTTGATTATTGAGTATTGATTATGGTGTACATAATTCGCTGGAGTTGTCTACCCCTCGGTTCCGAACTCATTTTATGAAAGTTCATCTGAAGGAAACTGCCCTCTTCCTCACCTGTTGCATCATGTTGTTCTGCAGCCTCAACGTCTGCGGCTTCGTGCCGCTGCCGCCGCTGCTCGCCGACGACTCGCTCGACAGCATCGAGACGGTGTCGCTGAAGGCCGAGTCGTTGTCGGGCGATTCCGTGCGGCCCGGCTCGAGCCGCATCGGCGCGCCGTCTTCGGTGATGCGCGACGCCTCCGACAGCGACCGAGCGTGCGTTCGGGGCTCGAATTGCGACGTCGGTTGGGAGTCTGGAATGAAAAAAGAGATGATTGCTTTGGTGCGCTGACGCTACTAAGGTTTTTGGTTTTTTCTCCCGAAATCTACCATTGTTCCATCGGTTCCTATTCCGCAGTTGATGGCTGTTTGTTTGTATGCTTTCCTAACCCCGCACAAGTTTCGACTTATGGGGCGTTTGAACGAGAGAATGCAATTGAAAAAAAATGAAGAAAACCCACGCACCCGAATGTCGTTTCGTCTCTCTCGCCTGGCCAATCTCCCTCTCGCACACCGTCTCGAGGGCGCACAGCTCCCCGAGGATGGCGTCCAGGTCGACGTCCTGCGAGTCCTCGAGGTTGGCCATGGAGAAGCGGTAGCTGTCGATTCTGGGCGCCGTTATCTCCGAGTTGAGCGGTCTCAGATGGGCGGTGGCGTTGACGGGGTCCAGACCCTGGAACGAAAAAACACATTTTACTTAGCCGTAGGTAAAGCATCATTATTGTGTTCATGTATAATGTAGTAGGTCGCGTGCACGATGAGTGACCCTGGAGGTGAAATATTGGAACACAACCTCACGCTTCTGTGAAACATTGAAACACAACCTCACTTTTTTTTATTTGTTCACAGAGGAATCAAAGGATTGAAATAGTTTTTCACAATATTTTGGTATACGAATCGTGTTTTTTGCGCTATTCATCGATTATTCAAGCATGCCTCCGCATTGTGCTGTTGTACAATGCACAAAAAATGCAGCGTGAGACGAAGGAATATGATTTTTTAGGTAAATAGTAATCTCACATAGTTTTCATCATGAAATTTTGTCATTTCTTATTAAAATTCCTTCTGCCACTTCCTCAATAGAAGATAATACTGCTGAAAAAAGATTGAACAACACACATGATCATATTTCGTCAGCATGTCAGACCAGTCCTCTTGTTTGCATTATTTTAGAAATTTCACGAGTATTTCTATTAGTTCCTATTGCAGAAGGAATTCCGATGAGAAATCAGAGAAATCACCAAATTTCAAAAATGAAAACTATATGTGAGTGACTATAGTAGGTACTTACTTTTGAATCATAATGTACCAACCGGATTCCTTCGTCTCCAGCTGCATTTTTTGTGCATTGTACAACAGCACAATGTGATGGCATGCGTGATTTAATGAATGAATGAAATGATTTTTTTGTTCAAATTAAAAAATTCAAGATGGCGGCTTCCAAATAATTTTTTGTTTTTGTATAAATGACGATAACTCTGTTGTTATCAACACAAAACTATTACTGCGACATATCATCTGTAAGGGAAAAAAAGTTATTTGTAACTAAGTCATAGTGAGCTATGACCTACATTTGAAAAACTAAACTTGGTGCTGATATCTCAAATTCTAGAAGAGTTGGTATAAATTTCATATTATTTTCGAAATCAGTTTGAAAAACTGCCATGAGAATGTGAAATTCCTATTAGAATAATTCCATTAATAAAGAAGTTACGGAGGAGACATGAAAATGATCAAAATCTGTTTTTTGCGTATAAAACAAAGACGAATAGATTTTATCAAAATATTTTTTCACATTATAGTTGGCCTTGACAAACTCCACATTTGGTGTCATTTAACCAACCTCGTATCTCTCACCGTTAAAAAGATACCCATGGTGAGCATGGTAAGTGGGACACACTGTATAGAAATGAGAATTTACTTCTACAGTAGGAGTGTTTTTCATGCTATGGAATATCGTGAATTTTACTAATCATTTGAAAAACGTACTAATGCTTCAAAATAATTTAAAATCCCATTTTGGTTAGTTAGACAAGATACAGGACGATTTTGAAAATTTTGGACACTTTTTGGAGTTGGTGTGTATGTAAATATTCAACAACAAAGAGCTTCATTTATATTATCATAGGTCTGAATATTTGAATTATTTGGGTTTCCCACGATTTTTTTAAAATATCCAAACATCACATTATACGAATTTTCAGTGGAATGCGGTAAGATAACCGCTCTTCTTACCTTTTATTACACCATATTATAAATGACATTATTTACGCGCAGCTATTATCTCATGAGTCGCTCATGAGATAATGATTTCATAATTAAACATAAAAAATAAGATTGCTTGCTGCATGCCATTGGGCTGGGAAATTTGAAATGTATAACATAATTTTACTAAAAATGTAATACTGTAAGACAGTAGTTTAGATACTTTGAAATTAAACATTTATATTAGGCAGAAATGGTAAGCTAAAGAAAATATAAGTAAATGTCCGTATTTCTATCGTTATCGTGCTTGTTCTCTATTCAATTCGACTAAAACCTCGACTAAAACCTCGACCAAAACTAATTATGGAATATGGCATCAAAAAAAACTGAATTCATATCAAGGTAGTGTTTGTTAATGGAATGGACAAAGCTGAAATTGTATTAGACGACGGGGCGAGTCTGACAGTGTAATTACAATTTTAATAAAATAATCCAATAATTAATTGAATTAGTGACGTACTCTGGAATGTGATGACCACATCTGAAAGGAATCGCAAAACATTCCTCAAACTATCTCACGGGTGTCGTCATTTCACCATGATAAGTATTTACCGAGATCTCAGAACAGATGCACTTATTTCATCACAGACAGGGTGGCTCTCTTTTTTATATAAACTAGGGACGAAAAAACCGAGGAAAAACTATGTGAATGAATACAAAAATGGTGGGAGAATATTACAACAAAAATATCGATTTTCCGAATGAAAACTTTCTCCATGGATCTTTCTAGATTTTTTGAAAGCTACTATTTGAGCACAATAGTTATTTATTATACAAGGGAAAAAAGTAGTCGATTTTAGCTTCAGGTTTTGTTGTCTCCCGACGCGTAGTATATATATATATAACTTTTATACGCCGAGCATTTGTGAGTATCCCTGTATACCTAACACAAAATAATTTAGAATTATGCTGCTCATGAGCCTAGACCATCACAAAAAAAAATTGTTCTTCTATCTCAAACAGTGAAGCCGTTATCTCACTTTCCCACACTATTGACTCACCCTGTAACCCTGTATACCTACCGCATCATATTATTATTATCAGAAAATACGAATTACTACAATTTCAAATTCGAATTTTAATTAAAAAATGAGGAGATGAAATTCAACAGTTGACAAGAAGCTATTGTTCATGATACAAAGGGATACGGAAAAAATCGGACAGTACGTTGAACATTGTATTATGTAGATTTCGAAATGTTCCTGTCACGACCAACAAACATCTCCTGTCGCCAAGACGTCTTCATTCACTTCACAGGCGCCTACTAAAGGAAAAAATCAACAACAATTGATTATCTGTCTGCCGCAGAGTTCAACGTACTTTGTCGACTTTTTCATATTATCAACAAAGCTTGTAACACTACAAAAATCTTGGAGAAGACGATTGTCGGAAGCACTAGCAACAAAAAAACAATTGTAGTTGACAATGTTGATATTCCACTATAAATGCATGCATTCATTTCATTGTCGATGATAATATTAATTAATAATCCTTCGACCAAGTGGATATTTTTTTATTTCAAACTGTTACGAGGACGAGAGAGCGACTGTTTTTTATTTTGTAGTGGCGCCAGCCTTTGATGCCGTTATATAACTTTAAGCGTTGTTTATTGTGAATTTCTTAAAGAGGTCACTGCAAAATGCAAGCTGCAATTTATACAAGGTATTCCATATATCAGTACCCTAATTCATCTGCAGTAAGTAGCCATCAACTTTAGTTTCATCGAGAACTCAAATGTTGTTAAAATTGTGCACATGGACTCTCAAACACTCCTCCAACTTCATTTTGTGTCAATGGTACCCTAATCCATCTGCAGTAAGTACCTACTCATCGAAAGGAACAACAAATGTTCCATATTCCATATAAACTTTTGCCCTGAAACCCATCAACTTTAGTTTCATCGAGAACTCAAATGTTGTTAAAATTGTGCACATGAACTCTCAAACTCTCCTCAAACTTCATTTTGTGTCAATATTATTCAAAAGATATACCTGCCCAAAATCCGATGTGGACCTGCACTGACACCAAATTTTGTAGACTTGGAGTTGAAAGTTGAAATCAACTTAAAAATGTTTACGGTGCATTCATAACATGCTCATGATCATTGAACATTTTTTGGTACACCGAAATGGTCGTGAAAAATCAAGTCTTCTACTTATAAGAATGAAAGAAATTCTATAACTATATCAATAGTAATCACATAATAATATAGGCTTTCCAAAAGTTGAAAGGGCTCCGGTAAAGAATGTTCGCATACAAAATTACCAAATTAATATTTCATAAAGAATAACGAGGAAAATTATATGTTATCTTAATATGTCCTTATCAAAGGTTTTTACTTCGAGTTCTCATTCCTGAAAAGTCCTGTATGGCAGTTCACAAAATCTGGTAAGCCTAATCTCAATCTGAATCTGAATCAGTTTTCCTATGGCATTGATAATTATGTGATACATTTTCATTTAAATGACATTTTAATGTAAAGTTGAACCTCGAAATCATGCCACAGATCCATCTTGTAACCTGGTACGACGTTATTGAATTTTATCATTCTGATATTCGGAATAGTACAAGGATATTATACAAATTGTGCAGTGCCGGACTGGACTGGTGTGACAGAGCAAATCCCACTGATCTTATTGTACCCTGATTTATCGATCTGTTTATTATATGGAAATGGCAATATTAGATTAACGATTTTCTTCTGGACCGCCACAAAACCATCTTAAGTATAGACGCCATCAAAAGATGATTGTTAGCTTCCTGCTACCTGGCTACAGTTAGTGGATATGGTCCCTCAAATATTGGAACTAGGAACTAGAAACTATGGAACTAGGAACTGACTCGTGACCGGTGACTCTTCCATCATGACTATTTATCTACCATCAAAGCATGCCAACTTACAAGCTGCTAGAAGGAACTAGGGCATCTGAATAAATGTACCTTGTTTCCGAACTTCCAACCCTTGAACATCGTCCAGATCGCAGATCGCTCAAAAATAATCAGCTACAGATTTTCTTCACCAAGTCTGACCAGCTTCGAAGTGACGTTGGAAAATTCGCGAGATCTCCCTGACTGACGGCAGACATCTCGAATTTCCCGACATTTTCCCGCTATCGCTGGGGCGGTAACGTCATTTCCGGAACAAATTCGCATCGACATGGAAACGGCACGAGCCGGCGAGGCGGCGTGGACGGAAAACAACTGCGGATCGACGGGACGCTTCCGCGTGTGACGTCACACCGTCTCCGCGTTGCCACATTCCCGCACGAACGGCCGGGAATTGATTTACCTTTTTCCCATAACGGATTGAAAACGACAGTTTAGAATAACTCGGTTCAGATGGAGCATGGAGTTTATTGCCTTTGCTTTGGTGAATACCAATTTCACATTAAATTTAGTTGTTTCATTCAATTATTTCCGAGGGGCAAACAATGGAG